CAGCTCTGTCCCAACTGCAAGATGGCGAGTAGAAAGTGATTGCGTACGCATCACATACCTTGTATGATACCGAAAGAAATTATTCTACCGGTGAGAAGGAGGCCCTCGCATGCGTCTGAGCATTTGAGAAATGGCACTTTTGCTTATTCGGACGTCGATTCACTTTGCGCGCCGATCATTCTAGTCTTGCAACGCTACTAAGTCGTGGTAACAAAGGTCAAAAGCCGGTACGCTTAAGTCGCTGGTACTCACGTATACTGAACTATGATTATGAAATAAAATACGTGCCAGGGTGCTCCAACCAGCTTGTAGATGCCCTGTCGAGACTCCCACTATCCAACGAAGGGGAAAACGAGGACTTAGAGAAGGTAAAAATGATATCGCAGCTCTCAGACGGAACACCTACAATAACATTTGACCTGATACGAGAGCACACTGACAAAGACCCTGTCTAAGTGAAGCGTCGGGAGTACATATCCACTTTATGGTCCAGTTGTATCAAGATCCAACCTGAGTTACTTCCATAGTATGCCCTACGGCACGAGATTTCTACTGTGAGCAACTGCATTATTAGAGGCGAGCAGTTTGTGGTCCCTGCAACCCTTATTCCTCTAGGGTTGGCATGTGGTTACATCTAGCGATTGTGCGAACAAAAGCTCGGATACGACAATACTATGTGTGGCCGAAGTTTAATTCCAGTGTCGAGGCGGTTATTGGGGAATGTTACTCCTGTCAACAATCCGATTTGCTTGCGAGGCCCCTGAATGCTCCAGTTCAATCTATCTTGTACCCAACGAAGCCACGGGCAAAAATTGTCATTGATATTATGGGCCCCGTTTGCCAATACACCTCCGCAGAAGCGAAACGTGCTAGTGGCTACATGGTTCTACAGCAAATGGCCAGAGGTTATTCTATGCGGGGACGTAACTACAGCCGTCATCATAAAGTGGCTCCGTTGTTTGTTTGCAAGGTACGGTTTGTCAGAAGAAATAGTCCCTGATAACGGCCCACAGTTTCGAATTAACGAGTATGGTGAATTCCTAAGGCGCAATGGTATCGGACACACGAGGACTGTACCTTATAATCCTCATAGAGAATGGACTCATCGAACAACTTAATCGTACATTGAAAGAATCTCTACGAGTCCTTAGGCTTTCGGGAGAATCTCGGAATGGTGCGTTGGTATCTGCATTGGAGGTATACAGAACCACTACACCTAATGAAACGGCAACGACTCCCTCGGAGTTAACGCTGGGGCGAACAATTCCAACTCGATTAAATGCAGCCTTTACATCCGAGGAAACCGCCGATCACAGAGAATACGAAAGACTGGCTGTTTACCAGGTTAAATATAGACGCGTTTGGAGAAAGTGTCCTCCAGGGACATTTGTTCGTGTAAGACTACCCTAATCCCGTAAAGGAGGTAATGTGTTCGGACCGCCGACCTGTGTGGAGTCTGTGTGCACGCCAAGAACTGACAAGTTGGCTGATGGGATAAAGGTGAATGTAACACGGCTGCATACAGCGCTTTCCCAACGTGCTATTGAACAGATGAACACACGTACAACACAGCGTTCGTTACAAACTAATACAAACTTACGACTTTCCGATCGGATACGCCATCCTGTCAACCGATACGCTTTAACGGATAACACCACATGACAATTCTTCAGGGTGCTGCCATTAAATTTGTTCATTCATGGACATGTAGTGCCTGTATTTTTTATGAACAGGGGAGGAGACAAGGTAGTGTTCAAATACTCTGCTTTGCTCTCGATTCGCTTTTCCTACTCACGCTTCTATTTAGCACTAGATAGCCTATTATGTGACCTTGCATTTGACTGGCTGCAATTCGAACCTCTATCGAGGTACTTGCACTACGCGTGTGTGCGGACAGTTGTTTCCGTATATGAGTTTCGGGGCCGCTCTGGTTTGCTATCTTTCGGGATACAACACTTACCAAACGTACCACTGTCAGCCAGAGATTACACAAGTCAAGGGCACTTACGTTCTGGTCAGGCTTTGATTAGTAACCGACCTCAGGTAAGTGCTCAACATTATGATTGTCTTTTTGTCGCCTAAGGTCCTCAGTACAACAAGCAACGCTATAAAGTCCAGCTGGCCCGTTGGTTTTCACACCTGATCAAAGCATAACCCAAAAGGCACAGTTGAATCACCACAAATGAGTAATGGAGAATATTTTATAAACAGCTCATTTATACAATAAAAAGCACTTGGATAGTGAATTACCGATTGTTTTATTTGATTGCACCAGAGAAGATGCAGATAGCAACATTTAGATTGCTCACAACGCTTTGCAGCCATACCTGACCGGGGGTCTCGAGATTGATGGGAGATCGATGCATAACAAATTCACTATATGGAAATTGTTTCATGCTTCGGAACAAGCCATGAACTGTTTCAACTCATCCGAAGCACAAGTTTAATCAGGGCCGCAGTGAATAAAACAACTGAGGTAGTAACAATCATTCGGGGTTCGGCCAGACTGGACGCTAGGTGGAACAGTTTGAAGAATAGCAGAAGCAAATTACGGATGGTCATCGTTGCAAGATTATTATGAAGCCAGTTGAAATGCTGATGGATGACCTATTATATCAGTACATTGCTCCCAACCCCAAAGCTATCATCCATCGACAGAGAAAAAGGTGGCGATTCGCTGGTCAGTAGCCTAACTGTCCAGTTCAACCTCAACATTTTCACTACGGAAGTGACTTAAAAATAGTTGTTAGCCATGGTCCTCGCAAATTCTAAAATTGTCTAACAAAAGGTACATAATAATCACCGGGTATCGATGTTAATCCTGTTATCTCGAAAGTTTCCACATAAAATGGATGCCAACTGAACCTCAGAAGGTGGAGTCAGGGATACCGGAAGGTTATTCCGTTCAGGTAGAGTATGTGCAATCATGTGCCTAAATTTTGCCAGCTGTCTGAAAAGGGCTATCGAAGCACATGGCATTCCAAGGTCACTTTGGTTGACTCGACGGTTTCTGCCGAGTAAATCGATCCTGAATACTTGCGACGCAAGCTGCCATGAAAAGGTATGCATAGGAATCCCTTCCTGCTATGAGCAACTCATAAAGCTAATACATAGTCCTTGTACGTACATGGTTGCACCTGTCCTCTTCGCTTACCTTGATAGGTGGGTTAGGAAAAACTCCATGTTTCGCCTTTTCTATTAAAATTTGGGTGAGAGGTTGGTAATACCCATTTAATACGCCTCCTCTGGACTAGAATCCTGGTGGGTTACCGATTGGCGGATTCGGATTACGTAGATGATAGTACCATATTCTGATCGGACCAACCATCTGCATATGCGCTCCCGAGTAGACTGGAGCAGAGTGTTTAGTGATTCGCTATGATCTCACACTATCAAGTTAGTAAATACCGCTTCGGGATGGAGCAGGTAAGTATCCGGCTTTCACCAAAAACGAACTAATACTCTTAGAGATTGTTTATTTAGGTAGTTAGTAAACCTCTGGTGAGTCGAGTCAAATATATGTTATTGCACGCATGTGCATGCACCGCGTGGCTATAAAATCATCGATCACGTATGGACAACGTGTGACATCTTCTTGATGGTCGCACTATGCTACACAACACTGCTTTACTTCATTGATCAACGAGGCGGCCACTGTGCGATTCAGTGCCGTTTACCTCCGATGCAGGCTGAGTAAGTCATATTAACCCTTTAACGATCATAGGTTTTGGGAAAATTTTTTACTTAGTACTATGCATCCACATATGCGTAGTAGGGGAGACATGCTTTTGGAATCACAGGCGAAACTTACCAACCGCCGCACTGATGTAATTCTGAGGTACATATCTTGGTTTCTTAATAGACGGTTAATAGACGGTTTAAACTACAGGATAGGTTACCATCCGCATGTTGCTGTAAGACAACTGGTACTGGGTCTACTGCGTTAATTGAAAGGGCATCAGCAACACGCCAAGACACAGTGCCGATGCTTCGCTGCCACGCGACCACCACCAGTTGCAGTGGGCAAGGGATAGTTCGCGGCCACATGCACTAGCAGATTCGAACCACCGACCCGTGGATTACAAGGCAGATACCTTATTACTTCGGTCACTGCACGGCATGCCGTTAGCCGAACACTCGCAGATTGCCCTTCTCAGTGTGCACTGTTCATTCGTGGTTCATGCGGTTGCGTGAAGCGATGCTTTAAGGAAATGATGGTATAGTGAAAAGGCGTGAGGAAGAGTGTTCGGAGGGAAGTCGTGCCGGTCTGCGCATCGGTGCTTCAGGTCGCACACACGAAAAGGAACTAGAAACTTAGTGTTTGTTTCGTGGTTGGAGCGCCCCTGTGAATGCACGATGAACAGTTGCATGGGTGTTGTCCAACACACCAGGCACCCTTGTGGGCAGGTTAGAACTGACTATTCTCTGTTTGGGTCGCCGGAAACCCTCACTTGATTAACGATCACAGACGCAAAGCAATAAACTGTGTATGGGGGGGTGGCCAACAAACCAATCGATGCATTTCGCCAGCACTTAGTTCATCAGTGTGAGACAATTCATTTACTAACTGCTGCTTCAGTTTGAATAGACGCGAAAGATACCAACTAGCATTATGTACCGAAAGCAATTGTGGCATCGTGTGGGCTGATTTATGGGTCAGTTTGCAAGTGCCCAAGTATCCTGGTCCACGCACTAAAGTAGTTCTTAAGTATATCTGAATGTTCCCGGCCAAATCACATAGCTGCAAGGCGTTCCAAGTCGTTTGGGCTTATCGGGCCAAAGTTCACACCAGGACACTCATTTTTGTTCACATACTTCGTTACTCCGGTCACGTTTACCGGCTCATATCATCGGTTGATCTGGCACATCCGCGGCGTGTGGCCTGTCTTCCCATTGGTCACACCCACCACAATTTGCCATGTCGCCCACGCGTCAAGTGATCGGAATTCCGCAGTATCACTAAACGAACCGGGAAATCGATTGACAGGCAAACCAGAAAAATGGCGGCCGTAGGTAAGTCACTAAGCATCATCTTACTGTAAAACTGTAATTTGTAGCACACAAGTGACAACTGGTCTTATTAGTGTGGGTTCTTTGAAATCAAGTATAGATTAGAAGACGTGTTGCCTAATGAAGTCCTTTTCATGTGACAGGACATGATTCGTTGTGGCAAACTGACGTAACTTAATTAGGGTGCTTTTAGATAACTTTAGGGTGCCTCAAAGCAAAATCATCGTCATGCGCTGTGGCTATGTACCACAGACGCCGTGCGTATCGTCGTTTGAAATGATGATGCACATAGTCAGTTGAACGATATGAGGTAGTCAGCATCTAGCAGTTACTGTTGCTGAGCGTTTTGTAGATATTACTAACAGCGTAGGTGAAACTTAAGGGTTATTCCCTTGTAGAAACCCTCCAAGGGCCATGGAATAAACGGCAAAAACGAGAGTTTTTATGACAGTGTTGATGGGTGAAGGTGTGGTGTCAACAACACATATTCATCTCAGAGTTTGCGCACTGATAATTCAGCAGCAGCTGGAAAAGATGATTACGGTTGAGTTATGCACTGCTCGTAAGACACTGGTATTATTTTGGTGAAATTACTATGATTTTTGTGAGTAAACACTTTACCACTGTACCTCAAATACTGGCAAAAGATCTAAACCCTCTTCCAGAGTATGCACGTCTGAGTTCTTGAGCTACTCCTGGCTACCGGTAGGAAGCAACTACAAAAGACTAGAATAAGGATGCGAATGTTTTGTCAAAAAAGTAGTCAAACCGATCGCTTGTTGGAAGACTGCATGCAACTGGATGTGTTGAAGGGTCTACATTATAAATTCACCCGTGTGTACCGGTAGCTATCTGATTGTAAAGTCTTTCGTAAATCTAATTTCTCTGCGGCATTCTTTGTTAAAATAAAATAAGGTAGGATTGATTCTTTTCGCTTGAAGTAATATCTGCTCCCCGATTTAGTTACTTTTTTCGAAAGCCATCATGAATTAAGGTCTGTGCACGCTTTAGTTGTGTGTAGACTCAGGTAGATTCCCACGTAATCCAAAGATGCAGCAGAGGTCGACCAGTGGATCAAACCAGGGAAAATGGTGCTTGTATCGACGACTAGACATTTGACTACAGTTTGGTATAGACTGGTGGTTGATACTCGTGCGGTGGCATGCTTGACAGCCATTGAACACAACTCTACTAAACGCACCGAGAATGACTTTGGTTCAAAACCCATTAAACGTGCGGCACGTCATATGGCGAATTCTGCCTAACAAGATTTTGCTCATCATCATCTCCATTTTGACCATAAGTACAGATTTTGGTCGCTTCGGCGCTTCAACTAGAGGAAGAGGAGCGAGAATGTTCTTATCATCGACTGATATATAAATAGCGCAGTTTATTTCGATAACTCTCAACATCCTAGGGCAACGTCGGACTCTGGAGAATGTGGACAGGTGAAGTTGCACTCTCGTCTTGATTTCAGTCGCATATGCTGAATATGAAGCCTTCACAGTTGCAAAATATTTCGAATCGCGGAAAATTCAGACTAATGGTACGTATCTACACGAGTTTTCGTTATTTAAGGTACTGCGACGGAAAACATCTTAAGCAGTTCGCAACTATTAGAATCCAATACACGCCGCACCACCTCATTCACAATAGCGCACAACCATACTGAATGCAAAAAGCATTTCATCATGCAGCTGGCTAGATACAACTTCCTTCTGTTGTTGAGCATCATGAGATGCCGATATTGCAACGCGAACAGGCTACACTACTGGCGAATAAAAATATCGCATAAGCGTCACAGAGTGTCTCAGGACTTCCAAAATTTTGTATCCAAAATTCTGCTCGCTTGCGGTTCCTCAATAAGTCACAGTGCGGATGGATTTGCGGTGCATGACCAGCAGGCTTTTACATGGAGAGTCCGGAGTGACAATTTGGTCCCAGTTACTGAGATTTTTGCTCCACCTTCGGTGAACAGTGAACAGCTAACTCTTTCGATGAAAAATGTATTCACTACGACTACCAGAGATGAATAATCACTCATCTGCACTTTACCGGGCTAAAAGTTTCACTAAATTGCAGAAACACTAACCGCTCACATGGCACACTAGTAGGTGTGCTCATCTGTTGATATGCCGCACTTAGTTGAAAGCAGCCAAGAGTATCCTGTTAGCGAGTTATTATTTTGGCAGCTATTGTTAGTTTGGTTTAGGATGTGCTTCTACTGGAGCCTGACACATTGTACACAATGACTGAGGAACTAGTTCCACCATGGTATCAAAACGTTGGAGTACTCGCACGTGGATGGTCTCCAGGACCGAGTTTTTAATTGACGCAGCCAAACATCGAAATATTGTTCTGCAAGGTTACACTGGCCTGGGGATAACGGACGCTGCTTCATGTTCTACTGTACGGCCTTCCTCTGCTCCAACTCAGTTAAACTAACTGAAGTAGAGTATAATGTTGTTATAAATCTCAGCGGCATTATGAGTTCTCAGCCGCCTTTTTAACCCTTCGATTTCACTCTCATTCTTTGATATCGACAAGAAGTCGGAGGGAGACTTTTGAGGTGCAAGAATTTTGAAAAAGGACCGAAATAGCAACTCTAGCCTGAAGGGATTGTAAACACCGCTCGTGGATTGCTACTCCGGTTAACAGTTAACCTATAATTCGCTGAAAGTTCACTTGTGACCTATAAGAGCAGGTTTGGTTGTAGCACAACCCCTCCGATATGTTCAAGACTGCAGTTTTATAGCTAAAATGCTTACCTTCTTCGAAGGTGGAATCCGAATGAAAGCACTCACCTCCGTAAAACAATTGCAAACAGCATAGCAAGACAATCTCCGTCTCATCCTAGTCAAGTGTCTTCAACATGATCCCGGCCGTACGTACTTGGTCGGCAATCGCTTGAAATTCCGGAAATTCGTTTAGAATGATTGCTCGCTCCCGAGGTGTGAAGTCAAAATAGTTATATTCTCCCGTCGGTTCGTGATATCCACACGATAATCTGATGAGAATTATGGGATACATGCTGTTCTGCACTAGTGTCTTCATATCGAAACTAGAGAACCTCTTGAAACCTGGTGCGGCGCGGGCGAATTGTATAACCCGGCGGGCGTGTTGCTCGAATCGTTGCATCATTTTCGACCAAATTAGACTCGGAGTGAGGGAATCCGCCGTTTGAAAACCAGTGGAATCCTAAAACATAATTGTGACTTGCGGGCAATATTAAAACACAACATGTCGCGCGCATATGTTGGCTACGTGATGGTAATGTTGCGAAAATTCCTTTACTGAGGAAGCAATATGTTAGCATTTACACTGCTTTGGAACAGCCGCACGCAATCTAAAGCTGTATAGCCACTGATGTGTGTCATCAAATGGACAGGATAGTAGATGTATTTGTCCAGTCTTTCAACTGGATAGCATTATACCAGAACAATTTTGATAAGCTTTGAAGATTGCGGAGTGAACTAGTCGGCTACATTGCTCATTGATCGTAGCGGCTTGTTTGCAAACTTTTAAAATTCGGACCATATGAAGTAGTCTGTCAACTCCTCGGCACATTATTGGAGGCACTTTGGTCCCTATATTTGTTGCCCTCATCATTAGGCGAATACCAGACTTCCATGAATCCACATGCGTCCACACTCGAATAGGAGAACGACCTGGATCCTCAGCCATAGCCTACCATAAAAGGTACGTCCGAAAGCCAGCAGGAAATGTGCCATGCGTCGGTGAACCGATTTATGCGGAATTGGCTGTGTCCTGGCTCATACCTAGACGAAGGATGTAAACCAACTTCCACTAAGCGGTCGTTACAGGGCGTCCAGGACGTGGGTCCACAGCACAACACTGGGATCAGCATATGGACGATCTGTCAGGATTTAGCCACCACAAACCTCAGCGCCTTACCACACGTATCATTCTTTCTCCTTATCCAATCATGCTTCCCTTACTCGCTGGCACACTGATTAGGTCAGGTGTTCGAAAAAACCGCTTACAGGTCTTAGTGGCTGTGACATTCCGTAAGCATTTTTCAACGAGTTGAACATGCTTGTGACAGTTCCAGAACTGACGGCGGCCATTAATGAAACTTGGTTAGATGTATTGACCCACGAACTGGGGGTTAGGGTTTGAATAAACGAACGGTTTCATTAAAGTCGTATCAGCGCACTGCATCCCTAAAGTGAACAGTGAGCCTAACTTTTTCGAATTACAAGTTGTGATTTCGGATGTACCATTTTAGGCTGGGAATTTGTGATTTTGCATTGCTGGCTCACTCAAATTCTGCCTGGAGGATACTAGCTATGGTGTGTCAACTAATCCCGACGATGAGTGGTCGCAGAAGTTCACCGTTTCAACTTTTGGGACGAAGCGTCGTTAAACGTGAGTACTAACCAAATATACTCACCATGGAGTGTTACATGGGGTAACGCACTGTTGGGTTGCAATGGTCAATGCATAAGCCACTTCAGGAAGTTAGGTAACGGTTTTACTCTCTGCATTTTTGCAGGCAGACGATTGGCGGTTGTCTAACACGCATCCATTTTTTACTAACTTGAACCTTTCTGTTGTGAGAACTGATTCAGATGCAAAGGATATTCGTGTATTCCTTTGAGGTTCGCGGTGGTCTACATATAGGTGGTATCCGCTGATTATCTAGCCAGTTCAAATCTGTTCCGCGAATGCCGAGTATACAAACGGCTGATCGTCAATTAGTCTGGCAAAGGATAGGACAAATATCTTACCAAGCACTGACATAGCTTTGTGTGGCTTATTTCAACTACTCCTTCCACATTTCATGTACTATCGTTATTTCTAACCCACTGTGACTTCGAAACTTCCATGCTATGTATGGGCAAGCCAACGTATCCATAAAACTCGACAATAAGTCCGCTCAAAGGGGCCCGACTGGCCAAATGTACTGTCACGAAGGGCTAACTAGATGTGCCAAACGGTGAAGAGACTGGGTTCAGTTGATTTCGACACTTCCGCCACCA